CACACACACACACACACACACACACACACACACACACACACACACACGTTAACATGAGATACAACCACTGTGTGTTTGGATACTCTTCCCTAAAGATGTTTCTTTTTCTCTTCTTAGCTCAGCTCAATTGCAACACAGCACTAACATTGGAAGAAAGAGCACAAAGTAATTCTCCTTAAATCCTTGTTTCTATTTATTCCATCAGAATGCCTGGCCAATTTATTCTAATAGCTCTCTCTCACAGTTAGCATCTTACTGGATATCTCATCATCATATCACCACTGCATTTATTCTCTTAATAGATTTCTTTAAAAACACATTTTTATGTTCTTTCTGTATAACTTTGATACTCCCTTCCTAATATACATATCAAGGTGTATTATGTCTACCATCATCTTACCTCTATAATCTTCCTAAATTTCTGTCTTCAATAAAGTTCTTTGTTTTGACCTGTGTATTCCATGATTAATCTTCTTTTCACCGCTATATAATTCTTAGATGTCCCCTGCTAGAAAAAAGGATCTCATGCTGCTGCCTCATAGGGCTCTTTCTTATCTTATAAAAGTGGTGAAAACCTGCTGGGAATTTAGTAAACCTAAACTCAATTGTCTTCTCTTCCTAAGGAAACTTCATTGTTTATAATGTTAATTTATTTTTACTTTATACATATCAATGTTTTATTTGCATGACTGTATATGCACATGCTTAGTGTCCACATAGAAAGAAGAAAAGAGGGTGTAAGTTTCTGTACAACTAGAGTGATGGATTCTTTGAGCTGGCATGTTGGTGTTGGGAGCCAAACTTCGATCCTCTGGTTGAGCAACAATGTTCTCAACTGCTGAACCACTGCTCCAGCTTTTGAGGGAAACTTCTCATTCAACATCCTAGAAACCATAGCAACAGCAGCAGCATGTACCCTTCCTTTGTCCATCTTCAAGCTCTGTATTCTTGTCTGTATTACAACATCCTAAGTAATAAAACTATACTTTGTCATTACTGGTTTTCTTTTTTATTTTTATTTTTCTGATTATCATCAAAAGCCAGAAAGCAATTCATACTCTTCTACATTCTCTGAGTGAGGCCTCAGTTTAGACACTAAAACTACCAGGGAAGTCTTTAATATATTAACACTTTAATATACCTGGAAGTATGCTTGTGTGTGTGAACCCAAGTTCACCTTTTATTCAAGTCTCTTCACTTCTTATTCATAACAGTTAAAGTTCAGAGAGTGATTAGTTTTTATAATGTCACAACTCATCATGGGAAGGCCTGAACACATTGACCAATTCTTGTTCATAACACTATAAGTTATTTTGGGTGATGTATATTCAAATATTCAAGAAAACATTGTTTTGGTTTGGATGATATCAAACAGTATTAAAAGAATATTGTTATCAGCCATAAAGTTTCATTGGAGACTCAAGTGTTTTTAAATTTTACAGGAACCACATGGCTAAGTGAAATTGTATATATGATCTATAAAGAAGGTGATGTGGAAAAATGCAAGGAGGATGCAATCTTTAACAGAATACCTTACCTGGAATGTAGAAGTGAAGACCTAATAAATGGTAATTTTTAAATAATTTTTTAAGTATGCAGGCATACATTTTAAGACATATGTATAGAATATGGTTGATAGATGGTATAGATATGTTTATGCTGCAATAAAGGGAAAAGGATTTTAAGTAACATAGTCAGTTAATATTCTGTCATGAATATAGGAGATTCTAAGACTTTAAACCCTGAGTAGTCTTATACCATTGCATGGGTTTGAAAGAGTAAATGATCATAACTATTATATGTATTCTAGAAAGTATTCTACTATGTCAGCATTTCTTTCTCAGTTTCCAGTAGTTTAAAATATTATACATGCTAGGAAACTATTCACTGAATTTCAAGGACACTCACAACTGTATTCATAAAAGTTTGCTTACCAACATGTGAAAAAAAAAACATTCAGTTCAATTGATGAAAATAGTTGATCTTACTTTGCAATTTATTTAATAATTTTCTTCACAATGAGTTTGTATTATTATTATTATTAAGTGAATTTATAACCTGAAATAATCTTTTTAAAAGTCCATCAAAATTCATATGAACATTTTTTGTCTTTTAATTTTTTTATTAATTACACTTCTATTCACTTTGTATCCCTCCTGTACCCCCCTCCTCCCCTTCCAAGCCCTCCTTTCCTCTCCCTTCTCCACACATGCCCCTCCCAAAGTCCACTGATAGGGGAGGTTTTCTTTTCCTTCCTTCTGATCCTAGTCTATTAGATCTCATCAAGAGTGGCTGCATTGTCTTCCTCTGTGGCCTGCTAAGGCTGCTCCCCCTTCAGGGGGAGGTGACCAAAGAGCAGGCCAATCAGTTCCTGTCAGAGACAGTCCCTGTTCCCATTACCATGGAACCCACTTGGACATTGAACTGCCATGGGCTAAATCTGTGCAGGGATTCTAGGTTATCTCCGTGCATGCTACTTGATTGGGTCTTAGGGAAGACCCCTGTGCTCAGATTTTTTGGTTTTGTTGCTCTCTTTGTGGAGCTTCTGTCCTCTCCAGATCTTACTATTTTCCACTTCTTTTATAAGATTCCCTGTATTCTGCCCAAAGGTTGGCCAGAAGTCTTAGCATCTGCTTTGATAGTCTGCAGAACAGAGCCTTTCAGAGGCCCTCTGTGGCAGGTTCCTAACTTGTTTCCTGTTTTCCAGAATAAGGAACATTTTTTAAAGTTATCTCTCTCTCTATTTTTTAAATTAGGAGTGAAACAATTAAAAGAGAAGGAATCTCCTAGAATTGTGAAAACTCACCTGCCAGCCAGTCTTCTTCCAGCATCATTTTGGGAAAAGAATTGCAAGGTAACCAGACTTACGTTTTCTTAGACTTATGCTAAACTCTACCCCTTTAAGGCCATTTAAAAGGCATCTTATACATACTTTATTCCTCTTTAGCACACAGATTTTTTTCAGCAGAAAATGAATTATTTTTGTTATAACACAAGTCTAGATTGTAATTATACTTTTCTTTTTTCCTTTACTTAAGATGATTCTGAAAACTAGTTAAACACTAAGCGTTGGCTTGTTTCTGGGTAAAAGAAGAGTAGTTGTGTCATTCTTCTGATAGAGCTAAGTACGATTATCCTTGAAATCTCAAGCCTAGTGTTTAACTCACTGGAAGCATGGGATGAATGCTAGGAGGCTATATTTATTTCCGGTAGATAGAATGTCTTTATTTTACAAAACATTGTAAAATAAATGTGTGACATCGTGAAACATTCAAATGAATCAGAATAGGATATCTAAACAAGTGTCCTGAGATAGGCATTTACCCAGTGAATGAAAATGACTGTTGTCCTCCATTTCACTTGCTAACAATGCACTCACACTTGAAAAACTATGAGAAAGAGATTTATTATTGTTTGTGGTTCTGATCCAGGGACAAGATGTTTTACTCGCTCATGGCCTTCTTGTTGACAAATTTTCAAGGCAATGTATAAGAGAGTGGATGTGAACACATTTATGTCTCTAGTCTCTAACCTTTTAAAACCACCAGTGCCTACTCCCCTTCCATCTGATCCTAGCTTATCAGGTATCTTCAGGACTGGCTGCAATGTTCTCCTATGTGTCCAAGCAAGGCTGTTCCTCCCTCAGGGGGTGGGGGTGGGGTAAGGAGCCAGTCATTGAGTTCATGTCAGCAACAGTTCCTGTTTCTTTAATAGGGAAACCCACTTGGATACTGAGCTACCATGGTCTACAACCGAGCAGGAGTTCTAGGTTATATCCATACATTGTCTTTGATTGGAGAAACAGTCTATTAGAGAACCCCTGTGTCAGGGAGGAAATGAGGGAGGGAGGGTGGGATTGGGAGGGAATGAGGGAGGGGGCAACATTTGGGATACAAAGTAAATAAACAGTGAATAATATTAAAAAATAAAAATTAATATTAAAATAAATAAAACCACCAGTGCTCAGGGGTTTGTTACTATGGTGACCTTTTCTAAACATTGACACCTCCCAAAGGCCAACCTCTAAATACCAGCCAGGTTGCAATCATTCTACAGGTACACAAACCTCATTGTGAGCATTGAACTTGAATGTGAATTTTGGAGGGTGCAAACCATATTCAAATCTATTTCTTGTAAAGTGTTAGGCACATAAGATACAGGCCACAGAGGAAGACAGTGTAACCAGTCCTGATGATACCTGATAGGCTAGGGTCAGATGGAAGTGGAGGAGGACCTCCTCTATCAGTGAATTAGGGGAGAGGCAGAGAGGGAGAAGAGAGAGGAAGAGTGGGATTGAGAGGAGATGAGGGAGGGGGCCACAGCCAGGATCCACACAGAATAAATTGCAAGAAATGTTAAAAATAAAAAAAAATTAAAAATACAATAAAGCATTAAACTGAAAAAAAGACACAGATAATCATTAATTTCATGGAAACAGTCACTAAGAGTAAAGGCATAAGTAAAGAGACCCTATGAGTAGTGCTTAGATTATGGAAGAGAAGACATCTAAATTAGATGCATGGTTTAAAAAGAAGAGAAGTCTGTTCAAACCCAGAAACAGTTCCCAGAGATTACTGAAACTGGTTCAGCTTGCCTGAAAAGTTAAATGGCCATGCTGGGTAAAAAACTGAAAGAAAATTCCCTAGGACTTATATATAAGAAAATTGGATATCAAGTTCAGAAACTTTGATTTTACTTTAATTAGAGTAAGCCTGTGTTGCTTTGTAGAGAAAAAGTCACACAATTTTACAGCATAGGCAAAGTGTGACCACAGAAAGAATGTTGTGCACCCTGCCTGCTAGAGTTTCTTGATATATTTGTCACTTTCTAGATATCTGGGGCTTCACACTTCAAAGGCTCTAATGCTTTCTTATTTTCAACTGAAATAACATTAAACATCCATCCTCTGTAGATGTTCTACAGAAAAGCTTTCTCACAGTTCTGTACTTTCTTCAGATGTCTCAGTACCATTTTTTTTCTTAAGAGTCTTTTGGTTTTTTTCAGAGTATGAATCATTAAACCAAACCCAGGCCTGAGAGTCAGAACATCTAAGAGATTTGCTACTGACTCATTTCATGACATTAGGCCAGGCATCTAATATTTCTGAATCTCAGTTTTTTAACCTGGAAAATGAACATAATTCTGTATTCTTTCTCTCAAGGACAGAGATAATATGAATCTAAAGTGAATAATAGTGTTATTTTTCATGTGATTGGTATCCACATGGAAGAATACGATTTGTAGCTTTGTTGAAGGATGGCTAAGCACACTTTGTCTTCACTGTGTACAGCTTATAGTGGAGAGATCAGATTTCATCTGTGTCATATTAGAATATGTCCTGGGAGATCTCTACTGTGTTACAAGAAAGTACTTCAGGGCTTGCTATTTTTATGTTCTCTCATTAAAATTTTAAATTAATAACAGTTTATTTATTCATTTATTTTTATTTATTACAATTTATTCACTTTCTATCTCAGCTGTAACCCCCTCCCTCAACCCCTCCCAATCCTACTCTCCTTCCCTCTTTTCCTCCCCAAGCCCACTGATAGGGCAGTCCACCTCCCCTTCCATCTAACCCTAGCCTATCATCAGGACTGGCTGCATTGTCTTCCTTTGTGGCCTCTTCACAGGGAGATGATCAAAGAGCCAGCCACTGAGTTCATGCCAGAGACAGTCCCTGTTCCTTGTACTGGGGAACCTACTTGGAGACTGATCAACCGTGAGCTACATCTGAGTAGGGGTTCGAGGTTATCTCCATGCATGGTCCTTGGTTAGACTATCAGTTTCAGAAAAGATCACTGGGCCCAGATTTTTTTTTTTTATTCTGTTGCAGTTCTTGTAGAGCTCCTGTTCCTTCTGAGTCTTTCTATAACCCCTCCTTTCATAAGATTCTCTGCACTCTACCCAAAGTTTGGTTATTAGTCTCAGCGTCTACTTTGATACACTGTTGAATAGAGTCATTCAAAGGCCCTCTGAGGTAGGCTCCTGTCCCGTTTCCTGTCTTCCCTTTCTTCTAAAGTCCATCCCATTTATCTTTCTGAGTGAGGATTGATCATCTTACCGAGGGTACTTAGGTTACTCAATATGTTTCTTAGAAGAATCAGACTAATAGCAATTAGGAAATAGAGCAGACATTGCTTCAATGTAACATACTATATTATGGTTTTTTTTCTGTATACTGTTTGATGTTTTTTGTTTGTTTGTTTTTGTTTTTTCACACTAAATTTATATTGTTAGTTGCTGGAAATGTGAATCTTTAAAACTTGATTACAACATGGTTGATCATCTATCCAGTAATTTAACAATTTATCTCATCCTCTAGATAATCTATCTATGCCGGAACGCCAAGGATGTGGTGGTTTCTTATTATTACTTTTTCCTAATGGTAACTAGTTTTCCAAACCCTGATTTTTCAGAATTTGTGGAGAAATTTATGCAAGGACAAGGTAAGAGTACCTTAACTACTTTGGATTTTTCTTCAGAAAAGAAAAATAAAAACATATGCTATTTTGTGCAAATGAATATAAATGAATTAATATAAACAGCAATAACATAAATTAAGTATACTATAAATATATAAAAACAGAACTATAATATATTATATAAATAGAGATAGAATGTAATATGATATAAATAGAATATAAACATATGTAGCCAGAAACACAAGATAAGTAAATATATAAATATATACAACAGATGAATATAGTATATAAACAGAAATAAAATGAAATACAATATAAATATAAGATAATAAAAATATACATAAACATAATGTAAATAAAATATATTATAATTTTATATGTAAACATATATAGACTAGGAGGTTCATAATGAATATACTATTTCACAAATTCTAAAACACAGATGCTTAGAATAATGGCTGGCTGCTATGTATGAGGAGGATGAAAAATTAGAAATCTAGGGATTCTAATATAATGCCAACAAGGAAATGCATTGACTCTACTGTGATCAGCAGTATGAGTCTGAGAGCTAAAGTGTCCCTTCTCTCACATATACTGTTATATTTTCAAAATGATTGAGAACAGGTTCTTGCAATATGATTTAAGAAAAACTGGCTGAGGCTGTAAAAGCATGACTCATTTTTTTTCCCAGTAAAATGCAAAGGTTATAAATGAAGTCAGATACAGGTACTTATCGTTATTCTGAATATCTATAAAACTCTTGCTTATTCTTCTAGGTATGTAGACTGAACATGTTCATTTTGATTCACTAAACAGCAAAGAGTTTCTTGAGCAGATATTAGGGAAGTGTTACCATTCCATTAAAATTCTGATTAAGCAATGAAGCATTTGTTTTTGAAGACAAAGGGGGAAAGAATAGTTTAAACTTCATTAAGTAAGCAATGTAAAATGTATAGGGATAATGGAAAAAATTTTATATCCATAGAATATAATATATAATATTGTTCATTAGACCTTGTGGCTTGCAGAAAAATGTATTCTAAAGCATCATGAAGAAAACATATCCCTCAAGATTGTCAAGATCTCCTTGAAATACAGAGAAAAATAATTTATGTGCCTTAAAATGGTGAATTATATTACTATAATGTCATTGTGGGTCTTCTCAAAAGAAAATCTGCTTATAGCATCAGAGCACAGAGCATCAACAGTGGGTCGATGTCTAGTGGCGACTCAACCTGTCTGTGCTAGCCTTGGGTTTGATGAAACTGTTGTATAAAGGCAACAGAAGAAAAAGTGACAGCATTTGCCATATCACAACATCTCCAAAATCTAACTTTATGGAGGAAGAGGGACTGAAATTGTCCTATGAGAGTGAATTTCACAATCTGAATTACTAGTCTTGTACTAAATGCTCACATAACTACTAGTCTCTCTCTTTGTGTCTCTCTGTCTCCCTCTGTCTGTCTCTCTGTTTCACACAAACAGAAATACCCAGATATACATAGAAACATAGACTCACATACAGAGAAAAACATAGCTCTCCACACACACACACACACACACACACAGCAGTTTAAACATGCTTTTATTGCTCTAAATTGAATTGGTTTGTCTTTTCTCAGCATCACAATGCATGCCATGCGGTTAAACTGAAAGTATGTTTTTGAAGATAAAATTATTCAACATTTTTGAATCATTGCTGTACAGAACTCTTCTTAATAAGTCTAACTGACCTGTTCTGATTCTATGATCATTTTGCCTTTTTAAAAATAATTTGAATACTTCTGTCAAGATTGCAAAATAATAATCTAATATCTTTACACTTTTTTCTTCTTATTCAGTTCCGTATGGTTCCTGGTACGATCATGTCAGATCTTGGTGGGAAAAGAGTAAGAATCCACGAGTGCTATTTATGTTCTATGAGGACATGAAAGAGGTAAGGGACGGAAGACATATAAACATTTTCAGTAAGCTTAAAGATTCTTTTTTTTTTTTTTTCCAGATCTGAGGACCAAACCCAGGGCCTTGCACTTGCTAGGCAAGCGCTCTACCACTGAGCTAAATCCCCAACCCCTTAAAGATTCTTTTAACATCTGACAATACCCTGAATACAATATTAGCACTGGGAACATGGCATCAATCACTTGCAGAGCTATGAAAGGAACAGAACAGTAATCCAGTTTGATTAAATTTTAATCTAGTACATAAAAATGTTTAGCGATTACATACACCTTAAATCCCAGTGTCAAAATTTTTCTAATGGTAAACTTTGCAAAAATAATCTTGAATTCATAGAAATAAGAAACAAAATCACAATATACACACTTGGATGATCACCAAACTTGCTCTTTCACTGCACACTGTAGTCTGAGAGTTTATGTGCTTAGTGTATGATATTGGTTGTGATATACCATGTATGAGATTATAATATCTAGGTATGGTGGCTGACACCTGCAATTCCAGCACTTTTGAGGCTGAGACAGATAATTAGGAGTGTGAGTCATGTTTGAACAGAGTAACAAGACTTGCCTAAAAATGAATAAAAAATAATTAAATATTCCTGACCAGGTAGATGTGTCAGTGGATAAGTCATTGCTATGCAAAATGAGGCCTGGAATTCAGATCCCACCCCTTTATTAAACCAGGGAGGCATGAAAGCTGGCTTTTAATCCTAGTGCTATGGACACAGGAAATGCCACAGGCAAACTGACAGGACAAATTAACAGAATCAGTGTACTCTGTGTTGAGGGAGACAACCTGCCTCAGGTAAATAAAGAATTCTGTAAAAGAGGAATTTATATAACTACATATTTCTGTTTTCACACACTTGAATACAAGTATATGCGCATTTAACTGTATTGATGCTCACATACAGGCAAACTTGCATACACACACACACGTCTATGGAAAAATAAACAGAAATGAAAATAATTAGAAAGAACTGTTTTACTTGTTTTAAAGTTACCATTTTGCAACTCATCTTATTTAGGCCTAAAAGTTTTTAAAGTGTCTCCTGAATCTATTTTTTTGGATGAGGAAGAATTGTTTTAGAATAGTTAGTTTTCTTCATTATATATTTAATTCTAATATGACCAGGTAGAAAATAATGTTCTCTATCATGTTTTGCCTATTACCTATTCACCAATTTTTGTCAACTTGGTCTTCAAATCACTTTGTTTCTCTGTAGGATATCAGAAGAGAAGTGATAAAACTGATAGAGTTCCTGGGGAAGAAGCCCTCAGCAGAGCTCTTGGACAAAATCATTCAACACACCTCATTCCAGGAGATGAAGAACAATCCATCCACCAATTATACAATGATGCCAGAGCACATGATGAACCAAAAAGTATCGCCTTTCATGAGAAAGGGTGAGAAAAGAAAGTGTTGCAGAAAATATACAATTAGCTTATAGTGTTTATTATTAAATGCCTGTAATTATTACCATGTTCTTATCTAGCCCACTATCATAATAAAAGATAGAAACACATGTTTTATTTTAGAATAAGTCTTAATTTATCTGGGTCTGGGCAGATATTTCTACCTAAGGTATCTCATTATCTCCTACCCCTCATCCCATGCCATCTGCTTTAATCATTTCTGTTTGTGCTACTTTCCACCCATAATTCCCTAAATACTTACTGATGCTCTCCATCTGGGCTGCTTCTCTCCATGCGGATTCTCAGAGTCACATGGTTCTTCACCTACCCCATCCTGACTACCCTCTTTCTCCTCCAGTACCTTCTGTCCTCCATGATCCTTCTGTCCCCAAAGCCTGGGAATCTTAGTTAGGCCTCTCACTTCTGCCCTTCCCAGGCGTAGTCCTTTTACTCAGGCAATCGGGAATAATTTCTTAGGTAAAATTACAAATGTTATTTTGGGGATATATGAGTGTCTGCTCATAAAAGACAACAAGCAGACCCCAGCGAACAAAATAATCAACATTCAAATACAAAGCACCAGACCATGTTACAAGGAAGTTATGTGGCTTTCTGTTAAAAGGACTAAGCTGCCATGACTTAGGCAAAAATCTACTCAAGTTATTCATCCTGCATAACCAGCATGTGTTTTCTTTACAACTATTTTATCTTGACTATTCTTACTGAATTATAAAGTTTGTAGCTGAATTAAACACTATTTGTTAATAATCCAAGAAGAGTTTTACTAATACTGAATTTCTGTTTCCTATTTATTTGGTTTTAGAAGGATATCATTCACTGCATAATGGCAGACACCTCAGGATCAGCAATGATCCATAATGTACCCACTGTCATTAACTAGGTCTATGTATATTGGGTGTATACCATTATACCCTATACATATTATCTCTACAGATTTTGATTTGTAACTAGGAAAATGGATTTACTGTCTTATTTTGAGATAAGATAGTAAATTCTGAAAGTCATACTTTCCTTGTGCAAATGACAGAAAGTTTGAATACTAAATGACAAGGTAGGAATTCAAAACAATTATAGTTATCGATAATATCAAACCACAATAAAAAATATTTCCTTAGAAGCATTATCTAGTGAACTATACTCAATTGTAAACCTGAAATTTGGGATTTATTTTTTGTATGACATTCAGGGAACAATGCCATGTAAGTAACTGGATATAAAAGCATAAGTCTGGATTTGAGAGGTTTATCATCACAAAGATGATATTCAATAATTTGGTCATCACTGCACCATGGATCTCATCGTAGAAGGCCTGATATATGAGAGAAAATCAAAATCAAAGAACAAAACTCACTGGAATTGGTATAGGAAAGAAAGGATGAATCAAGTAGGAATTTTTTTAAGACAATGAAAACAAATTTATCTTTGTAAAATCTAATAATGTAATGCTTAAATATTTTATGGGGAAAATTAAAGATTAGGAGAATTTTTCACAGTATCAGTGAAATATATACAAGATTAAGAAAAACAACTCACGATTCTGGCTCAACAACTCAATTTGGCACTTTCTTTTTCATCTGTTTTTTTTTTTTTTCTTCCAAATTTTTATTTTTTTTATATTAATTACAGCTTATTCACTTTGTATCCCAGCTGGAGCCCCCTCCTTCATTCCTTCCCAATCTCCACCCACCCTTCATTGTTTCCTCCATGCCCCTCTCCAAGTCCACACTGATAGGGGAGGTCCTCCTCCCCTTCCATCTGACCCTAGTTCATCATTTCTCATCAAGGCTGTCTGCATTGTCTTCTTCTGTGATCTAGCAAGGCTGCTCCTCCCTTGGGGGCGGGGTGGGACATCAAAGAGTCAGCCATTGAGTTCATGTCAGAGATAGTCCCTGTTCCCCTTACTAGGAATCCCAATTGGATATTGAGCTGCCATGGGCTACATCTGAGCAAGGGAGACTCTACGTAGCAGTGTATCATAGCAGATGCTGAGATTCATAACCAAACCTTGGGCAGAATGCAGGGAATGATATGAAAGAAGGAGGATTTAGTAAGACCTGAAGAAGACAGGAACTCCACATATATCTGGGCATATCTTTTCTGTAACTGATTCTCCAACCAAGGATCATGCACGGATATAACCTAGAACCCTTGCTTATCTCTTTCATTACAGGAATCACGGGAGACTGGAAGAACCACTTCTCAGCAGAGCTAAGGGAGAGATTTGATAAGCACTATGAAGAACAGATGAAGGACTGCACTGTGAAGTTCAGAACAGAGCTCTGAGATGCTTCCTTTTCTTGCATCTGAAACTGGAATGTTCTTCACTTTATCCTCCAGTTTCTCTTGTTTTGTTTTTCATTACAAGTCTTTTTGAAGGCTGATGATTTAATTTCATTCCGTCTTTTAAACTTCTGTATCAATTTAATTTCTGAATGAGTTTGACAGCAAAATCACATTTTTCTTATATATAACATAAGCATGTGTTCTCTAACAGTGCTCAAATATTTCTAATAAAAATAATTTGATGTCTATATTTAAACATCCGTCCATTTATTCATTTATTACAATATAAATCTTGCCTTGGGGACACACAGACCACCAAATATAAAGGTCTGTATTTTTTAAACTTTTATTAATTATACTTTATTCACTTTGTATCCCCCCAAGAACCTCTCTCTCCTCCCCTCCTAATTCCACCTTCCCCCCCTTCTTCATGAATGCCCCTCCCCAAGTCCACTGATAGGGGAGGTCTCCCTCTCCTTCCTTCTGATCTTAGTATATCAGATCTCATCAGGAGTCGCTGCACTGTCATCTTCTGTATTTAACAGCTCTGCACTATCTGTATATACTCACTCTTCACCAATCTTATACATATTTTCTTCCTTCCCTTCCTCTACTTCTCTCTTAACCATTGTTGAAAGTGCCATGGGAAAGTGCCATGAGCTTGAGGCTCAGGCAAGATTTGAGGGCATGCTATTCTATTAAAAACTTGCAAAAGTTCACCACACGGTAACATTTACACAGAAATCTGAAATCAGCGATAAGGTAGCCCCACTGATTTTTCAGTGCATATGTATTTTAACCAGGAGGAATGAGAATAGAGGAACCAGGTGAAGAGCTCAAAGCACAGGAACTGCAGTGAGCCAAAAGGAGCAGAGTACCCCAGATGGAGAAGCATCATTAGCATTTCAGAATTGCTTCCACATTTCTGGTTCATACAAATAAATAGAAAGATGCCAAACTGCTAAGATGGAATCTCAGGGACTGGGGATGTATCTCAGTTGGTAGAATGCTTACTCAGCAAACACATATCCCTGAGTTTGATTCTCCAGCACAGCCTTAAAAAAAGGTATGATAACCACACATCTATAATCTCAGCATTGGGGGATTGAGAAAGGTTGATCAGAAGTTCAAGCTATGTAATGAGTCTGGAGCCACACTGGTTTACATGAGGCCCTGACTCAAAAAGGAAAGGTTCTCAATGAATCGCTGCTGAGAGAGGGAGAACAGGTCTCCTCCAGGAGCAAACGTTGACATATGTTATCCAATCCACTGGACACATGTACTTGCAAGCAAGGCTAAATAGACTTTCTAGGTTACATATACATGTGTGCATGCATACAGACATGTAGCATATGTGTATACCTGTAACAATAATAAAGAAGAGACTATTAATTTGGAGAAACGGGGGAGGGGTGAAGTGAAGTAGATGCAGTGTTCATATTGAAGTTCTAAAATTTAATATTAACGGTGAATCGAAACAAAAGGATTGGTGAATAAGTATGTTTGCATACTTCATCTTCTTTTAGGCTTGGAAAGATTAAAGTGATGTTGAAGGTTATTACTTTTCATCTTTTCAGCATTTCTGTTCACTATAAGGGTATATTCATATGTAGGACACCACTAGGCTGAGTCCTACGATCTACACCTGGGAACATAAAAACAAACAAGTAGTCAAGGGTAGTCAAAAATAAGCTGGCTTCTGTCTGAAACTCTCTACAGTGGAAACCCGGGCCAACACTAGCCAAGCACATTTGCCACTGGCACCGGATTCATGTTGCTTTGTAGAATATTTTGGCTATTTGGTATATTTTACATACCTATTTTTTGTCATAGAGTCAAAAAAACTATAGTGATTGTTCTTGAATTTCAAGAAATTTGTTATTTTCTAAAAGATATTTATACAAGATTTTAAGTTTTCTCCCTGCCTCTGTGACTGTAAGGATTCTCCATTTCACTGTGTTCTTTTTATTCATTTCCTTCTCCTTGGTTTCACTTGAATATCACAACACTATGGTAACAAGTTCACACAGTACAAAACTTTCTGGCAGATCCAAATACGTATGAGCTCCGACTTGGGGTGTTAACGGGAATGTTGATTGTTTCAGTAAACATAGATGCATTGTAAAGCAAAAATATGAGAAAATAAAACAATTATAGTGAAGCAAATGAATGTTTTAGGATAATAATCATAAATTTTGGTAGATAAATGTCTCACAATTACTATTTTACAAATAAAAGTACAATTATTTTTCTCAGCTTTGTGAAAATATGTACATTTGAAAATTTGAAACCAGTATTCTAATAAAGTCTGAAATTGCATTTTTATTTTTAATGAAATGTAAGCATGTCACCCGTTGGCATTTATTAGCTATAGTGAAGTTAAATTATTGCATCTCCGAATTAACATCAAGCAGGGATATTAAAGTCACTTAGTACTGTCCTGTAATATCTCCATTTCCAACTACCAAAGAGCTCTTATATAATTTTTAAAAAGGCTCAGTTCTTTTTGATCTTCGTAAGTCTTCTTCCATTTTATGAGAGTCAACTTTATATACATACATGTGAATTATATATGCTTATTTTTGTCTACACATATCTCTGCTTATCACGTATGTGGCTGAGGCTACATAGGCCAGTAGAGGGCACTGGTTCCCCTCGAATATGAGTTACAGACTTCTATGAGCTGCCACATTGGTGCTAGGCAATGAATTTGAGTCCTGTGCAAAAGCATCATTTTTTTTGTTTTGTTTTTGTTGTTTGTTTGTTTGTTTGTTTTACCATGGAACCATCCCACTAGTCCAGTTATCACTGGCATATAAATTTATGTGTTTTCTTCTTTGAAACAAAGAGCAACTTAGTCTTGGTCTCCAAATATTGACATACATAATTCTAAAAGAACCTTTGGAGCTAAGTTGTGTAGAAATTGCTTTCAGCTCTTAACTGCAGGATCAGGGGTTGCCTCTGACTCTATTGTTTGCATTGGGATCTCTTTCCCCTAGCTGGACAGCCTTGTCTGGCCTCAGTAGAAAAAGATGTGCCCAGTCCTATTTGATATGCCAAGATGGGTTTGATATCCATGGGTGGTCTCCCCATCTCTGAAAGGAAAGGGAGGGCCTTCAGGGGGAGGGCAGGGACGGTGAGAGGGAGGAACTGGGAGGAGAGGAAAGAGGGGAACTTCCTACAGGATTTAAACTAAATAAATTAAATTAATAGAAAAAAATATATATATATTTGTTCCCTATTAAAAATAAGTTGCTTTCAAAAGCCTTCAACAAGATGGCAAGGTCTCCTGTCCTATCAAAATCTACCTATTTGGGGAGCCAAGATGGTGGCGCCGAGAGAGCACCATGTCTGAGAAGCGGGACAGCACTCTCCATGCAGCTACCAGGAGACTGAACTCTGGGCCCTAAAACTACAGCGATCGTGTTTCCCAGGTGAGGGGAGGCTCCCACCGCGTGGGAATCGGTTGGGTCCACTCTCAGCTGCCCAGCCAGAACCCGGAAGAAATCCCGGGTAACATGGGCTTTGGGTCTCCTGGCTGGAGCGGCAAGCCTGCTTGTCCCGATCAATTTCCCAGGCTGATTGGTGGGCACAACGGTGCCAGAGACTGGGAGCCCCAGTCACAAGAAAACCCCACGGGGAAGCAAAGTTGGAGTCTGATCACGGGTCACCCAGTCTTTCCCTGGAAGGTCTCCCAGACTTCCGGTACTCGCCGCCATCACAACTGAACTCCCGCCGCACAGAGAGCTGCATGCACAGCTCACCAGTACAGACAAGCTGCGCGCCCCAGTGCAACAGAGACTGCGAACCCCTTTCCGGAGAGGGCCCCACAGGGAAGGAAGAAACCGTGCTGCTGGGGTTACCTAGGCTTTGCCTGGGGAAAGTCTCACAGACCGCAGATCACAAACAGGCGAGTACACCCAGCCATTACAGATCCGGGCCCAAGCAGGGAGCACCGAGTTGTTGGGAACCCAGCTCCCGCAGACTAGCAGGCGGGCGCACGCTCCTCCAGCCCAGAGGCCTGCTGTGTACCAACTACTCCTTACAGACAGAACTGTGTGCCCCAAGACAACAGAGTCGTTGTCTGGAGAAACCCTCACAAGGAACAAGGAACGAAGCAAAGGGGACAAACTTAGGCAACCCAGTATATCCCCAGAAAAGGTCCCACAGACTGACCCAACCCAGGGAACTGCTGTGCCCCAGATAGCCTGCTGTTACCAGGGGAGCAGTACTCACCCACCACAGATTACCTCTTGGGTTCCGGGGCACAGAACCCCAATCCCAGACCTACAAAAGACCAGGAACCCTGAGATCAACCCCCAGATACTGCTCCAAGGGGCAACCAGTTATCCCTAACAAAACCGACCAAACCACGGGACACACAGGTTACAGCAGCTGATCACTAAATTTACAGCAAGAAACCCAGAAGGAGGGCAGCTGTCTCCAGGACCTCTCCTGGTGAGAGGAGAGCCCTCTTGACTAATTAGGACCATAGTTATCACCCAGGTCTCTATGCCTGAGATGAGCTGTAGCAACTCCTGAAAAACACCGGTCATCCAGTGACTATTCCCAAAAAGCTGAGAAGGCTTCCTTCAGGAAAAACCATCTTCCTGACAAAGGGATTCTCTCCACTACAAGAGTCCAGGAACAACCAGAAACTAACTTCAAACACCTAAGATAGCCCAATGGGTAGAGGACAGCGTAAAAGTTCAACCAACAAAAGCCAGAGCAATATGGCATTTCCAGAACCCAGTTATCCAGGGGCAAATAGCCCTAGACACCCCAGCATAATTGAAATTCAAGGGGATGACCTAACATCTATGCTCATGAAGAAGATAACAGAGGAAATAAATAAAATACGAAAAGAAATAGAGGAAGCTGCAGCCAAACAGTTTGTGGCCTTTAGAGAGGAAATGCTTAAATCACTGAATGAAATAAAAGAAACAGTGGATTGTTCAAACAAACAGCTGAAGGAATTGACAGAAAAACATGAAAATACAGTCAGACAGGTGAAGGAAACCAACAAAATAGCCCAAGGGCTGACGATA